GGACCAGAGGGGTGATTTGGGACTAAAATCCCACTTTTTCTTCCCTTAGATCACAGCGCAGACCGGCTCCCAGCCTTCCCCAAGCCAAACTGGATCTCATCCGGTGATCTGTCAGGTGAGATGCTGCGTCCTCCCTGCACCGTCCCCAGGCTGTTCAAGACCGCGCACGGCCACCAAAACTGCCTAACCTGCCATAGAAAAGGTTTTATGTCTAATGGGATATTTGCCAGCAAATTGAAGCCACGAACACTATATATCTCTTTATTTGTAAAGGTGTTTGAAGTCCTCAGATTTACCCTTTGGCCACCTTAAATCTAGTTTCTAATCCCTGGCACAGTTAATCAAATCCACAGTGGCTTGAATTATGAGATGCCTGGGGGGGATTTATAGCTTGTATTGCTGATTGTACCTTGACTTTATTATATTGCAAATATCTAACTTATGGTCATGGTGGTGATTTACAGTCCTCAGGTAGGTGCTTAAGATAACTTTTAGCAACTCCAGATGTAATTAGAGGTGACTGATGGGGCTGTCGCCACCGATAAACATGTAATCTGTAAAATGTTAAGACAAGGAAAGAAGAGGCAGCATAGGTGGAAAGGGTGGGCCAGCCTTAAAAAAATAATAATATAATTGGGAGTATTGCTGAGAGAGGCTCCAGGATGCCTGGTCTGAGGTATCCCTGCCCACGAAAGGGTTTTGGGCTTGTTGGTCTCCAGAAAATACCAGGATTTAGATCTTTGTTCCTTCTTGCTCTCAGCTGAAGGATTTTAGTGTTTGAAATAGCCCTGGGGAGGGAGAAATGAAGCAATTGGGATACTCACAGAGCTGACACCTGCCTCTTTGGTTCCGGTCGTGGGGGGGTGGTCTTCGTGCCTGTGGCGCTTTCGGACCTGACCTGCAGTTTCTCCCCGTCTTGGAGGAGCAGTGAGTCCCGCGTGGGCACGTGCCCCTCGGCCAGCATGACGAGCGAGGTGGTGGAGAACGAGTTTGAGTTTTACTCCAAGGCAGAGAAGT